GGGGGAGGAGGAGGGAACAGTTACATTCCTGGTTTCACAGCTATGTCTTCGTTACCCATAACAATCTGCTGCAGTACTTCTAGGTCCTTCTCTTACAAAGTGCTTAAATGCTGTAATTTAGTAACTTAGAAGAAAATGCTCATTACATTTTGTAAGTTTTTTTGTGATTATTCATTTTTCATTCCAGACAAACTCTTTGTGTGTGTGTGTGTGTGTGTGTGTGTGGTGTATATGTGTGTGTTCATGTGTGGGTGCACATATATGTACTGGTGTGCATGCATATGTGTGCATATGCCTGTTAAGGCCCACAGGTCAACCCCAGGTGTTCCTCTGTATCTGTCGACCTTGTTTTTTGAGACAAAATCTTTCATTGGTCCAAACAGAGTTCCCTGAGTAGGCTGGACTGGATGGCCAAGGAGCCCCAGGGACCCTCATATCTCCGCCTCCCCAGCCCTGGGATTATAAATGTACCTTTTTATGTGGATGCTGGAAATTGAACTCTGGTCCTCATGCTGTGTGGCAAGCACTTTACCAGCTGAGGTGTCTCCCCAACCCCCAGGGAAACTCCTTAACACTAGGAATTATTTTGACATACTGTGAACATGCATTAGGAGGACTGCCACTTTTCTTTCATCCTTACTGAACTTGATCTCTTTCACTCTGAGCCTATATTCCCCTGATACCCAGGGGTTCAATGAGGCAGACCACCTTCATGCAACTCCTGTGACAGCAGACATGGAAAAGGGCAGGGTTTCCTCCCCATAGCCTGAAACACAGGTGAAGAAAAGCTAATCTCATGTCCTAGGGAGAGGTGAAGAGGGCATGGCCCTGGAGGGTACATGGCACCAGTGGGAATCTTTCAGGTTCCAAGTGACACTGAATCAGAAAGCAGTACTGAGCATCTCTCAGGAAAGCATCACCACCTCGGGCATCTCTCACCTGCCCTCCGGCTTCCAGGGCCCTGGGTCCCCTCAGGTCAGACATGCTGGGGTGGTGGCGGGGGGGGGCACTTTCTACCTGAACTATCTCCACGATCTCCTTTTTGGCCTCTTAGTCCTGGACTTCCGGGAGCCCCTACATTTCCTGGAGGCCCCAATTTCCCTGGTGGGCCCTGCAAGCCCCTGAGCCCTTGACCTGTTGGGAGACAAAGGCATGACTTTGTGGCTGACATTCTTTTTTTCCAGAAGTTCAACTTTTTATTCACATTGACTCCAGGCAAGAGCCAGAGTTAGTTAGTGGTGACCCAGAGTAGAAAGATGCTTCTGCCTCCCAGGGCTGGATGCAGGTCCTGAAAGACAATTCCACCTCACAGATTCCCTTTGTGAGAAGTGTCAGATTAGCAAGAACTGGTAAGCATCTTTGATTGGGAGGCAGTGACATCATAGAGGGGCCATTCTGAGGGGAAGACCACCTACCATATTGAAATCTGAGCTTTCCCAAATCTCTGAGCTCATCCCTGGGGACACAGAACTATCCCCCACTGGAGGAAGTATGTAGACCAGAGTGGCCCGTTTCATACCTGGTTCTCCCTTCTCTCCCTTGAGTCCATCTCTTCCATCTCTGCCTGGGGTGCCACAGGCAATCACGGAGCAGGTTTTCAGGGTGTCCTCACAGATTTTTGACTCTGATGAGGATGCTCCCACATACAAGAGGAGGACAAGGAGTGATGGAAGCAGGGCCATGGTCCTTACCTCGGAGTGGAGAAAGTCAAGGAACAGAATCCTTTCTTGTTTTATGTGTCAACTCTTGTTCTTACCTATGGTGCACTGCACCCCAACTGGAATATCACACCCCTCTGGCTCTGATCTATTCCCAGGCCACTGAAGTTAGATGAGGAAACTCAGATCAGTGCTGAAACAGGAAAGGCACAAGAAGTTTGTTCTCAGATGGGAATGGTGGCTCAGTGGTTAAGAGCACTGGCTACTCTTGCAGAAGACCCAGGTGTGAATCCCAGGACCCACATGGTGGTTAACAACCAGCCATAACTCCAGTTCCAGGGAATCTGATGCCTTCTTCTGTCCTCCACAGGCTCTCACAACACAGCTGCACTTACACACATGCAAACATAACACTCAGACACATTAAAAAAAAGAACGAAAAATAAATAAAATATATAAAAAAGAAGCTTGTTCTCCCGGGGGGTCCCTGAGCTCCTGTGGGCATGAAGCTTAGGGGTCAGGCATGTTTCACCCTGAGGTTCTACAAAAATTCTAAGCCAGCTATGCTCCTGGTAGCCTGGCACAAAGGCAGAGTGCCCAGCAGCTGTAGGACTCTGGGTCTGTGCTTCTTGGCTCCCTTTCTGTTTCATAGGAGCGCCAGCCCCCCACTTTTAACCTTTCCCATAGGCCCTCAAACTAGACTGTAGCAGGGGACCCGAGGTCCAACCAAGTCTATTTCTCAGCCAGATCTGGCTTATACATATTCTTCCATTGCAAATAAAAATCCCTGTTACACACATGTAGGTTCACCTATTCCCAGGGCTACATTTATTTTCCCAGCATCTGGTCACTATTATGTACAGTCTCTTGTTTTAAGACAGGCATTTGCTGGAGGCGGATCATGCTCAAAGTGGAGTTTTCTACGGTCATTGATTCCACAGGAGACTTCCCTTGGTCTGAGATTCTACCAGGAGGCCATTTCAACCAGGCAGAGCCCAGGCTCCTGAAGTAACTGTTCATGAGGTCTGGCAGGTGCTATCCCATGCCCCTTCTGCCGGCACAATGGTCTGTGCAGTCCAGGTCCAGCTCTGAGCCCACATCTGCCCTCAGATTGCTCTCTTCTGGGGAGACTTGGCAGATGACCCCCACCCCCACCCCCATCAAGCTGTCCTGCTTTACCTGGCCTCTAAACGCAGTGTCTTCGGCCCTTACTATACAACTATGGTACCTGCCTTGCCTATCCTGCTTTGTCACCTCTCTTGACCTTCTCTTCCTCCAGCATGCAGCGAGAGGTGGCCAGTTGGAAGGCATTTCCCATGATCACATCCTTCTCTGTCTTTCCCCTTTCTAGTTTTTGTATGTTTTTTAAACTTCACTGACCAGATTGGAGGCCATCCATGATCATACATGGATTGTATGTGTTGGTGGAACATGCGTACCTCTCTCACCTGTCCTGCAGCGTATATACACTTCTTCCCTTTAGGAAAGACTATCCTTTAGTTTGCATATGGTCAAATGGATCTAGGAAGGGCACAGATAGTCTAGACCAGAGAGAGACACAGTCCAGGTGGGACTGTTGACCCTACTAGAGCACTTGCTTGGACCTTTCAAGGTTCAAGTCAAGAGGCAAGACTCCAGGCCCAGGCCCCCCACCTCTTCCATAAATGACTTACTAGGGCTTCTTCAGAGCTTGGGGACAGTGTCCAGCAAAGCTGCCCCTCCAAGCGAGGCTCCTGGCAGCTGTCTTCTCAGTGTCAGGCCCAATCAGCCTGGTGACCAGGGACCAAACTGGACTGGCCTTCAACCCCAGATTAATAAACAACCTTAGAACTGCTGTAACTGGGCAGATATCCAGAGCTGCTGGTGGGGTCTCAGCAGAGTGCTGAGTAGTTCCCTATTTTAATACCCTATACTCCTTCCTCTACTTACCCCCTGGATTTCCATCCCTATAGCTCAGCCACTCTCATTCTCCAGATACCTATTTCCAAAAGAAAAATGCATAGGTATTGTACCAGACAAGCATACTTGCTCATGTGTACACAGACACAGATGTGTGTTTACAGGAGCACATGCCTCAGTATCAGTTGCTGTGACTAGTCCACCCCTCCATTTGTGTTTCACTTAGGATAGAACCAGATTGGACTCCAGATACCTATTTCCAAAAGAAAAATGCATAGGTATTGTACCAGACAAGTATACTTGCTCATGTGTACACAGATGTGTGTTTACAGGAGCACATGCCTCGGTATCAGTTGCTGTGACTAGTCCACCCCTCCATTTGTGTTTCACTTATCATAGAACTAGATTGGGAGAGCTTCCTTCTCATTCAGCACATGTATTAAATGTCTCCTTTGAACATATCCCAGGTCTAGGCATAAGAGGATAAGTATCTGCAGATAACAAATTCAAAGGTGGCGGTAGGCATTTGCACCACTGACCACTCTGCTCAGACATTTCCCTCTATCTTTAAAGTGTCTGTTGTTAGTCAGATTTCAGTTTAAGAGAAGGGGATTTCCTAACCATTTAATTTTAAGTAGCTGTGTTGGTAAATTAAAATTCTCTGATTGAACTTTCTGCCTATTATTTGTTTGCATGTAGAATTGCCTATTTGGTTGCCTATTTATTGACAATCCCATGCCTTTAAAATGAGAGCTTCATGAAAAAACAGGAGTTTTGTTCTCTTAATGCTGTGTACCCAGGACAGAGGGACGTTCCTCCCCTGAGGCACCGGGGCAAGTGTTAAGCATTGTTAAGGCACTATTAATGCTAACTTAGATAAAGCTTTTGGGTAATCACCCCTTTTAATGTTTATTTTTCCTTCAAGTAAGCAAAGATACTGGGGGCTAGAGTAACTTGACTCCTGAATTGGCAGCTGTTAGAACTTTTCCTTCTGTGGTTTACAGCTTGAGCCAGGGACTGTCAAGCTAACAGCCATCAGGACTTCCATGATGCCGGCGTTGGCTGCTTCGAACTCTGTGGATGCCTTGCGGAAGCTACACTGCAACCCCAGCTGCTTTCTGCTGGAGCACAGCTCTGGTTCTAGAAGGCAC